TGGGTTCACTTCATTCCGATGCATAATGAGTATGTCCGTCCCCTATGTCAAACTGCTTGCGTGTTGTGGTTTTCACGAACCAACAGCGTCCTTGCTAGTGTCTCACTGTCTACTACCCTCTACTAAAGTCAAGATAATCAAAATCGTTCAGCTGTAACATCCTTCCGGTATCTACTTGCCTTGTCTTCCGAATGAAGCATGAGGGCTGGGATACTGATAGGTTGCTCAATTGTAGCCTGCCGCTTCATGTTAAATTGGCCGATACCGACACGTGCAAAAGCATTTTATGTGTGCGAAGTCACATTCGTTAACTTTGTTGAAATATAGCGGTTGTTTTCGGGGTCGAAATGGCTCAAGTGGTTAGAGCGCGGATTTACTGACCGGAAGGTCCGTGGTTCGAACCCGACCTCTGCCACTCGACTTCCCCTGTCTAGGCTTGGGCGACCTGGCAGTATCCCAGCCCTCGTGCCTCCTTCATGTGGCATGGCACACCGAAAGTGTGCTACAGCTGAACGATTATTATTATTATTACTATTATTATTATTTCGCAACCACGGTCGCACCGGACCACCGTATCACCCATCTGCGCTACCAGAGGTTACTGTTCAAATGGCAGCATTCTGGCCGAGAGACATTGTCAAACAAGGCTGTGTACATTAGCCATGTCATTATAGCTGACTCCGTGGATTCGAATCGCTGAATTGACCTATTTATTGGATCCCTATTAATGGTTGTGCGGCAATGATTCTATCTTGAATATGCATGTCCTCCCCCCTCTTATTACCGGTGGACGGTCGACGGGCTCGAGCTAGCCCGTTTGTTAAAGCGCGAACTTAATGGTTGACTCGAATCCAACCCCAACATCTCGATTGCTCATGTCTGAATTGGACGACCCCGTCAATGGGATCATGCGATGTGGATGAGGCACCCTTCGTAAACAGTTCGCTCCATGATGAAGAAACGCAGCAAACTGCAGAAAGTCGTGTGAGTATTGATGTCAAGTGGCGTGTTCAAACAAGTATTTGTGAATAGGTGACTGTGAATTGGACGAGTAACCGCGAAGAACCGATCGATCTGATTGACACTGAAACTAACTTTATGCTTGTTTGGCAAAACTGGAAATTCTGTGACAACTGAGTAATAAGAGTTTTGATAATTGTCCAGATGTAGCCACCATACTACCCGAAGGAAGCATGAGGGCTGAGATATTGCCAGGTTTCAAAAAGTCTAAGCAGAAGCACTCGTGATACAGAGGTCGGGTTCGAACCACGAACCTTCGTTTGTTAAAGCGAACTTAATGGTTGACTCGAATCCAACCCCAACATCTCGATTGCTCATGTCTGAATTGGACGACCCCGTCAATGGGATCATGCGATGTGGATGAGGCACCCTTCGTAAACAGTTCGCTCCATGATGAAGAAACGCAGCAAACTGCAGAAAGTCGTGTGAGTATTGATGTCAAGTGGCGTGTTCAAACAAGTATTTGTGAATAGGTGACTGTGAATTGGACGAGTAACCGCGAAGAACCGATCGATCTGATTGACACTGAAACTAACTTTATGCTTGTTTGGCAAAACTGGAAATTCTGTGACAACTGAGTAATAAGAGTTTTGATAATTGTCCAGATGTAGCCACCATACTACCCGAAGGAAGCATGAGGGCTGAGATATTGCCAGGTTTCAAAAAGTCTGAACAGAAGCACTCGAGATACAGGGGTCGGGTTCGAACCACAAACCTTCCGATCGGTAATTTCATGCCTCAAGACTGAGCTATCTAGAGACTCCTGAGTGCTGGCGGCACGTAAATCAATATGCTTTGAAGGCACCGCTGACAAGTAGTAACAAGTTGATTCAGTCACAAAACCTTTATTCGGGCTCGAACCTGAATGGTGAGTTTTTCAGTTGAAAATTTCTGGGGAAGTACAAAGTCATGCCTAACAGCAGGTTCGACGTTGGCAGCACAGAGCATCGCAGACCGTTCAGTGTCAAAGCAACATCAACGTAGGCCGTGATAAGCAGGTTGCAGTTACGTGAATGAATGAATTGTATTTGTCTCGAAAGTGCATCTTACTTTCGTTATCAGATCGTAATTACTTCTCCCATAGTAGAAACCGATCTGGGCCGATAACCTCCGAAAATAGCCTAACACCATTCTGACCGCTCCGCAAGGCCACCCAAACTGACGGCTTTCCGTATATTCTGTTGAACAAATGAATATTTTTCAAGTTTACAGTCATTGTTTTGTTCCATATGGATCATTGCTTGTGAGTAAGTTCCGACCAAGTAGGCTACAACGAATGCCATTTCGATGCAAATGTCTTGTTGGGGCAAGCAACTCAGTTTGTCATACCAGACTCGTGTCCGTACCTGAGACGAAGTGTCGGGTAATAAAAGTGCACAACGTTCGGACGTTCGTCTCAAGTTCGAGGGTATTCTATCGCTTTCTTCAACCGTCCAGCTTAACAAGGTTGTGTCCATCGTTGTCTTACCCAAACAGCCCCACAGAAAACAAGTTATGCCCAAAATGGAACTTGGGGGTTATTCACCTAACCCCCGAACCACACAGTGCTCGTGCTTTTGACTAACAGTCGGAATGCCCCAGACTGTGGACGCATTTGGTTCATGCTCTGTTACAGGGAGTGTCTGATCAGCTGTTCCGCTCTCATATGTGGATTATGTCAAACCGAACAGATAATTTCAGCGTTCCTTCGGTAGAGGTCCTTTGATATGATTGTCAAACGGTGGCGACTGGCTGACCATGCCAAGAGTACTGCCGAAATTCTCGGTCCACCCAAACTGCTTCACTAGATTAGGCAGGTCACTTAGAAAATTCAGAGTACTTTAAGTGCAATGGAACATCGAAAGCGCGTTTCCTTGGACGTTAAGATTAAAACCGTCAGGAGATCCGTCTCTCCCCGGATTAGTCAGCAAAGCTGGACAAATGGTTCGCCTCTAGTATGCTCCTCAGCATCAAATTTAACACTTTTCTGGATTCACTTTTTCAAGAAGACGAAACAAAGCCCTCCAGTTTTCGCGCACACCACTTTTCCACATGGCTTGCAAAAACACCTGGGATAATTGAAATATAAAAGGATTTAGCCAATTTCTGGATTTATATTGCTCGTCAGAGTGGGATCACTGTTGAATATGTTAGGGTCAACACGGGGACCCTGATTCAGCTACTCGAACTAGAGCAATCGCTGTAGCGTCTTGGTAGTTGTGAAGGCCTTACCGCTGTTTATTGTCTCAACCACGTGTTGTGACTTGATGGACGATCGTGCAACTCTGTATCGGTACCTTGGCTTCCTGCTCCACCCACTATGGTATATTAAAAGGCACGGTAGCTCCAGACAGCCCTTTTTGGAGACAGGAGAATTATTACAACTGTATTTATAGGGTAATCACAGTGTTCCACAAGGCCGTGTTAGAATCTCTGTGGGGGGCTAGAAGCGTCGAGTCAAAGATGCTCGTTCCGGATTGGCTGGTATTCTAACCAATCAGGGCATGCCCTCGTTTGGTCCGTGTCCTGCACGTGACACATCCGTCCGAATGATGTGATGTTCGGTTATTAGGGACGGCTGCCCTCTGGATACCACGTGGCTGAGACCGAAGCTGATAAAATAATGAATAATGAACGAATCAACTCGTTAAGGTTCACACAGCCAAGGAATTCGATATGTTGTTTTAATAAACTGACGTGTGTAATTTTTAGTGCCACTATAAGGGGATTGTCCGTTTCCTTTTATTCCACAGTCGTCGCAAACAAACAATACGGAAACTCGGTGAAGGCTGTTTCGGAGAAGTTTTCCAGTGTACCGCTAACTATGTTGCTCCAGTTGACCTCCATTCCACAACAGAATCGCTGGTGGCCATCAAAGTTATTCCGATTGAAGGTAGCGTTCGGTTCAACGGAGACTGTCAGAAGACGTTCAATGAAGTTGTCTCGGAGGTCATAGTTTCCAAGTGAGGATTATTCGAATTAACGTACACAATACTCTTGATGGTAGTTTGAGTACTTCGATGCGCATGTATCATCGAAGCTGAAAATTGCATTTAACCTTATATTTTTTGGTTTCATTGTTCCACAGATTTATTATTTTACAGTAGTTTCGGAGCAGGCATTCTAACTTGGTGCAATTGGGACGATTGTAACTGAACGTTGTGCTAACCAACTTGTTCTGTTTTGGACGACGCGCAACTTTACATCAAACCAGCGTTACCCCCACATCGTTGTCCTCGAGAGAGTCGTGCTCAAGAACATGGAAGACACCTATTGGTTGATTCGCCTCTGTTGATGAACCAACCATTTGAAAGTTACTACACAAATTGTGTTCAGGGTCAAATCAGTTCGTACTCTTCGAACACTTATGGGGGGACGAGATTGCTCAGTGGCTAGAAGGCGAAAATAGTGACCTGAAGGTCCGTGGTTCGCGCCCAAACTATGCATCTCGACCGCTTCTCTGTAGGCTTGGGCAACCTAACACTATCCCAGCCTTCGTGCTTCCTTCGGGTGGCCTGGTATCNAAAGAGTGTTACAGCACTTGTGGACTCAAACATCATCTTGCTCTTCAGTGTTTCTTACTGAAACTCGTATCCACGCGACTTATTTTTCTTTGAACCCAATTTTATCTAGTGAGATTGCTCTAAGCCACAGTTTGCCGGTTGATCAATTGCTGTGCCGGTTATGTCGGTCTAAGCGACTCCTTAAAAATCGTTCAGCTGTAGCACCTTCCGGTGCCTAGCTGCCATGCTACCCGAAGGAAGCACGAAGGCCGGAATACTGCCAGGTCTCCCAAAGTCTAGACAGAAGCACTCAAAGTGTAGAAGTCTGGGTGGAACCATGGACCTTTCGGTTGATAAATTCGCGCTCTAACCATTGAGCCACCTAGCCTCCAACTCTGTGTTGTCCGAACTGAAAGCCGATTCTCATCAAGGGCAGAGGTTTTGGTGGATGCACCAATACCACAGAATAAATGGGGATTCTGGATCACGATTCTGTTTTCTTTCGTTTCTGTTTTATCTCCTCGTTCTCTTGGAACTACACTGAAAGTGTACTCCCGCCCCTTCCAAATTCTGGCGCAACTTCGAAGTTGGAAGTAGTCGAATCGAATTCAGTTTGCATGGATGCAAATGGATAGAGCGTCATCTTTGTTGGATTATCGTGGAATAACACAGCCTTGTATACCGAGTTTTGTTGCTCAGCCTTCAAGCGTGGAATAATGATGAGAGTTACGAAAAACAACTGGCATCTGTTTCGAGTCGTTTGACCGATCTGACTGATACGTTCACGTGTATGCTCACGTGTATGCCCCGACTAGAAAGCTGAAACGGACTGTTCGTCGCTCCGGTTGAGCGTGATTCCAGAGATGCAGCGCAGAATCTCCCTACATTTATCGAATGTTCCGTCAGATCGTAATTCCATTTATTCAACGCTTGAAGACGCGCGCACGATAGCCGAAATTTCAAGCAATCGACCTCGGCGCAAATCTGGGACTCCATCTTAATCAAAGTTTTGATTTTGTGCGGAAAACCTCCCAGTATTTAGACGATAACCGATTTCCCTGAAGTGTCGTTGTTACCTAATCTCCGCGAGCTGAAATCTGTTGCCCTTTTTAATTGTTTTCGTTTCAACTTGTTATGTCCCTTTTCAGGGAACTGACAGCCTCCGCGAGCTGAAATCTGTCGCCCTTTTTGTTTGTTTTCGTTTCAACTTACATTGATTGTTATGTCCCTTTTCAGGGAACTGACAGCTCTCAGCCTTGGACTGACCAACCGTACAGACAGCTTTGTTCAGTTACAAAAGTGAGTACGTCCACTAGATGAGTTACCCGTTGTTCTTTTCCCTCCCTGTGTATTGAGTATTTGAGCATGTTTCGAACAGCCTGGCACATTTTGAGCAGGTTCCTTGTGACAATAGCTGATTAGTCACAAGCAACTTCGTGTTATCATTTAACCAGTAGCTCCAGTGGTAATGGTTCCCAATTCCTTTTCACTGCCCATGAATGATGCGCATCCCTCTTTTTTTTCTTTCTTTTTCTTTCCTCGTTAATGTCGTAGTCAGAAACACATCTTTCAACACATGTCTTTTAGATTGTTATTGAATTTTTCTGAATGAGAAGAACTGCAGTTCTCAAGCCTTTTCCTTGGTGCTCGAGATAGTTCAGAGGTCAATGCGTGGACTTATTGACTGGAAGGTTCATGGTTCGAACCCAAACCCGGCATCTCGACTGCTTCTGTCTAGGCCTGGGTAACCTGGCAGTATATCAGTCTCCGGAGAGCTTTATGTTGGTGGCACCGCAACTAGGCACCGAAAGGGCGCTTCACCTGGACGATTATATTCATTATTAGGCCTTCTCTGTAAAAATGATTTTGGAAAGACTTGGTAAAGACAGTGACAATCTGTTATGCTGTTCTACATGTTTGAAAACATACCGGTCTATCTGCAGGTGAGCTACGAATTCACTATTGGTGATTGTTCCTAGTATGGAACGGGTAGATTTACATCGGGGGCAGCAGTTCGGGCGAGTGGACACCATTGTACACATGGCTGGGCAACATCTATACACATCACTGCGTAGCTATCTATCTTATTTTTGCTTAGGGGGGGAGAGCTTTATGTAATAGATAGTCGTCTGAATTTCGAAGGCGTGGTCATTATAGCGCGAATAACACTGTTCGATGGTCGTGCGTTAAAATGGAGCGTTTTCTCACAACAGGGCATCCACCATAATCAAGAATTATAATAATCGTTCAACTGTAACACTCTCTCGTGTTTAGCTGCCATACCACCCGAGTACGAGGGCTGAGATACTGTCAGATTAGCCAGAACTAGATAGGAGCATTTGAGATGTCCGGATGGCGTTCGAACCACGGATCTTCCGGTCAGTAACTATGTACCACTGGGCAGTCTGGAGCTCAATGCTTTTGCAGTTCCGTTCAAACATCTTTGTGTTATGGCGCTCGCCCATCATCAACTTTTAATTTGAACGATTCCACCGTTGGCCGTTTTGTTCCTCTTAACATAATTGAGGGATTAGCGAACAGAACGTTTTTAGGCCAACCAACTACCTTTCTACTGCTTACTTTGTACGAATCGCTACTGGTGACTAGATACTAGCCATCACTATGGCTACTACAGTTCGCTTGTGTTGATCTCCAGAGCCTCAGAGCACATCCGTTCCACATGTGACTCGAATCCTGACTGCAGCGGAGCACACGTGTCCTATTGAAGCCGATTCGATGACTTGACTCAAGTTCGTGGATTACAATGGCTGAGTTGCGTTCAAGCCTTTTTAGCTTTATTGGACAATCACTTAGATTTGCTCTTTACATCGGATCAATTGGCCGAGATAAATGCTCTAATCGCGAGAACAATGGAGATAACACTAGAAAGTGCAAGCTCAGACAGAAAGGACAATTCAACAGAAACTGGAAAATTCCAGATGAATTGAGATAAAATACTAGCCTCAAATAAGCTTGTAAGCAACCTGTCCAACAGAAGCCTATCCCACAATGAGATGCAATTGTTAAAAAGAGGATAGAATTTCAACTTTATCCAAAAAGCACGAACTCCCAGTGAAGTAATCCCGGCTGTTGAGCTTGCACTCTCGTAGCTCCCAGCAGAGATCAAAACTAGCTAGATTATGTGTCTGCATTATTCTCACAAATCGACGACCAATCCGAAGTATCATGTCGCGGAAAGACAGTGCATTATTCTCACAAATCAACGACCAATCCGAAGTAACATGTCGCGGAAAGACACAGGTGCACTGAAGTCACTAAAGACAAACAAGTTCACCCACATCACCAAAGTTCACGAGGGCAACGTAACAGTTGTCATGAATCGAAACGACTATGAAGACAAAGTGCTCCAACACTGGGTCCTTCGAGAAGGTCGTACCACAGGAAGAAGTCGACCTGTCAATGAGACCAAACTTCGGGTTAATAAGTAACTGCAACAATTGAAACCCAAACTCAGTCAAGCACGGTGGTATTCACTTGCGGCAAAATCCGACAAACCTGAAAGATTCTATGGGTTACCGAAAATACACAAAACAGGTAACCCTATACGTCGCATCATAGACTATACTACTTGCTCAACTTACAACTTATCCAAATACTTGAGCAGTTTATTGAAGCCGTATTATCAGCTGGTGGTAAGTCACGTGAATGACTGTTTGGAGTTTGTCAGTATCCTCCAATCTTTCCAATCAATGATGATCGAGTAGCTTTGAGGTAATAGCTCTTCATACTAGTGTACCAATTGACGACTGTTTATCTTTATTGTCCTGTATTTTGTGCAACGGTACATCTCTAGTACAGAGAACAACTTTGACCCATGGTGTTGAACTATGTCTAAGAGCCACGTATTTCACCTTTCAGAAAGCACTCTACAGACAAACTGACGGTGTCCCTATCGGCACCCCAGTATCACCCATAATGGCTAATCTCCCCTTACACTATATTGAAACTAAGGCCTTACGTGACTTCGCCCATCCACCATGCATCTGGTGAGATGCGTTGACGACCACACAGTGGCAAGCCTTTCTAAACTGTTTGAATTAACAATACAGTAGTATAAAGTTCACGCTTGAAGCTGAGAGTGTGCAGAGGATTAATAGTTTCCTGGACTGCAACCTGTCTGTCAACACTAGCCGTGTATTCCAAGTGGCAATCCACAGAAAACGTACACATCCAGGCAGTTATTTCCATTGTGATTCTTCGCACTCAGACCACGTCAAACACACAGTTGTCGGATCGCTGATGAATCGCGTCAAGAAACTATGGTGGGACCAGTCCATACGAATGGACTGACCGAAGCGACTCATTAGCATATTGCGGCAAACCAAATACCCCATGAAGCTCACTGTCCAACAAATCGGAAGAACGCTCCCTCGAAGGGTGAGGAAGGAAGTCAAAACCGGATGGTCACTGTGGTAATACCCTATTGGGTTGGCACTTCAAACACCATTCGACAGATACTTCGGGATTAGGGTATCAAAACATTTTTCCAAACTGGACATCATCTACAGCGACACCTTGTAAAGGACCCTAGGACCCCGTCGAACTGAAATACCGCACAAACTGCGTCTATCAAATTTCTTGTGCAAATTGTTCGGCTAAATACATAGGCCATGCAGCCGGGCAACTCCATGTATGAATCACGGAGCGCAACGACATACGTGTTTTCCTCCAAGAAACCCAAAAGAGTTTGAAAAAACTTGAACGCGACTCAACCAGTTCAGCTGATTGTAAAAATCCGTGAAAAGGTTGCCCACGGTAATCGAAACGTCTGATTACAACATCTTATCCCTCTACGCTGTGTTTAGCTGATTGTAGAAATCCGTGAAAAGGTTGCCCACGGTAATCGAAACGTCTGATTACAACATCTTATCCCTCTACGCTGTGTTTTGACTTCAAAAAGTCCCCATATAGTTGGTTATCTCGGATGTGGCCCCGCCGACGAAGTGGCAACCAGGGTCGGTAGAGTCCGTTGTAATTGTTTTTAGCCTAAGGACATCTAAGTCGAAATGATATCAAAATGTCTGTGAAAGCCATGGTCTGTAGTGTGACAATGTGTCCAGTGTCGCTCTACGGTTGTGATGGTTGGGCACTGTGCTGAAGATAAAAAGGCATCGCCACCTTCGAAGCATCTCAGACATCGCGAAAACATCAGACTAGCACTGCCGAAGTGCAACAAGTGGTTTCTGACAAAAAATCAGCTGATTGTCCTGTTGTTTAGTTGACTTCTTTCACATCTTCCACTCCCGGCATTTCTATTCACTTCTTATGCCAGGTGATGGATGATCCTGTCTTACCCAGGCTTCAACCGAGAGCGACGACAAAGTAAGCACTCACAACCTGGAAGTGGAGTATGAACAACATGCCGAGGGGTCTCAGTTACGCTGATACGTGTTGCCTGCCATGGAGTATTAGAGGACCAACACATTGGTGGTCAAAGGTACTCGCAGATGTGACAGTGCCACACAACCACTGTTTTGTGGGTGCTCTCTTATACTAACTACCCAGCCATTCTTTCTTAGTTTGTTCTCGAACTTGCTTCCTTTCAGCCATTCTTAGTTTGTTCTCGAACTTGCTTCCTTTCATCACACTAATTGGTGACGTGTGTTGAAACAACCCGAACGATCGTACATAGGTACACGGCTGTCAGAATGAACCGAACTGAATCATTTGGTATGAGTTACGAGTCCTATTTGACCGAGCCGTACGGAAATAATCCTGATTGAATATTTGGTCCCTTGAGTTGGCTCGTTTCGCTCTATTACACCTTGCTTTTTACATGAGAGGACGATGTTTACGCTATTTTGCACTTCAGGTTGCACCTCGTTCAAGGCCGTTTCCCATCCTATCTAACCAAAGCCTGGGATCAGTTTGACCGTGAACGAAAGTCTGAAAATGATCACCCACGTGAGTTTTATGCTTTCTGCTCTACACGTTTTTCGTCTGATTGCAAGGGATTTTGTCCGATGCTTGCTTGAAGTCTCGTGGACAACATGGTCTCAGTCACCTCGTTTGTTGCGGCTGTAGTTCCCCACCCCCACTAGCTTACTTGAACTTAGCCCAAAATGTATTTATTGCGTTAGGCAGTCAGTACGGTAGCGTAACACCATGTCCACACCTAGGATGTCCTTAAGTAAAACCTCCACACAGGGGACAAGTTCGGGGGCATGGAAGTTCTTACAATATAACCTGTTTCGAGAATAATACCTCCAGAAGGAGGAAGCGACACTTTTTTGTTTCCCCAACTGGCTGATTTAACCCCCAGAGGAAGACGCCAAAACGAAAATACCCTGTACCAATGACACAGATTGCTTAGTTAAGTACCGCTTTGAAGATTTCGCGACAAACACGACTGGCACACCTCAGGTTGCATCTCAGTTGCACTCTTCTTCGCTGTACTTGACTTAATCCGGTCGCTATTTAGTCTAGGGTATGTGCACAACACCGTCCGCTGAGATACTTCACAATCGATCTATATAGCTAAAGGGTCAAATAAAGCATTGTTCGAGCTTTCGACAATCATCAGATGAGAAAACTCTATTCCTAAAGTGTAAAGTGCCAAGATTTGAAGCCAGGTGGAAAATCTTAGGTATGATTTATTGGCTCGAGGTAGCTCAGTGATTAGGGCACGAACTTACTTACCAGAAGGTCTGGTTCGAACCCGACCTCTATATTCCGGCCGCTCCCTTGTAGGCCTGGGCAACCTGGCAGTATCTTAACCTTCGTGCTTCCTTCGGGAGGTGGCGTGACAGCTATGCATCGAAATGGTGTTACAGATGAACGACTATTACTATCGGCGAAATACGCTCATTTGCAAACAAATTTGGTTTTGCGAGAGACGCCTCGAACCCAGCTGGATCCCTCGTTTATGCTGTTTTTAAACAACTTAATGTGCTGCACCAGGCCGCCTTATGTTTCAGTTGCTACGATATTCGGGATATCGCGGTACATGTATAGACGTAATGCACTACTCATAAGGTTACTGAAATTTCTTCGAACATCCACCTGGTGAGTCCCAAGAAGGGCGAAACCGGTCGTGGGCTGCCGAGGAATTTTCATCCGCACAACTGATGAGAAGAAGTGGTGAAATTGCAGCTCGAAGGAGAACATTACAGATAAGTGATCATTCATGTATTCGTAAGGTACCAAAAACTGCCATTCAGTTACAGAAGAAACTAGGGATATCTACGACTTTCGTCATTCCTCTCGAGGTTGCTTAAATACGTACTACGTAAAACCCATTGAATATACTCTTACTTTTGATGGGCATGAAGGCCGACCGAGAAATGAATAAAAAACGATAGGTTAAAGCTTATCCGGATAGACGTCCCTTTTTACGGTTATTGAAGCACCTGACTTGTTTAGAAAAAGGCAGGCGTCATTGAAATTGCTTTGATCCAGGGTGGCACGTTTTTCAGGCTCTTAGGACGATGTAGCAACAGGAGCTTAACCTGATTGAGGCAGAAACTTGCCTCTGTCAGTTTTTTTACAATTGTTAGTACCCGTACTATTTGAACCGTTATGCATCTCACTGAGCGCTTGGTGAAATACGTATCATGCCGCGTGTCTCTAGGGTGACCTAAGGGAGCACCACCAGAAAGTGTTTTTGATAATCGAAATGCGGAGTTAAGTTTCGATTTACCCGGACTGATATTCTCAGTCGAGCCATTAAAATGTAGACACTAACTAAATGATGCATCGTGCGATCGTTCATAGATGTTGGTGGTTCGATGCGTCAGGTATGTTTAAGTTTCCGTGAGTTATTGAAAGGGCTTTAATATGTCAGCAGCATTTTGTGAATCAGAATCACGATTTGTTTCGATATCTCATGTACAACTGTTTACACATTACAATAACTCATCACGCCAAATCCTCTGTGACAAGGTACATAAAGGGAAGAGAATAACTGAACTGCGCGCGTGTTCCCTCGGTGATTCCTGTTCGTACTAAGGCTGATGAACCTTCCGTAGAATATGCAAGCGAGGAGAAGAATCAAGAACCGCGGGATGGTCGTTACGAACTGGCATTCTGGAAGAAAAGAGCAGTATCCTGGACACAAGCTCTTGATTGGAGTGGCTAAGTCCGTCCGCAACACATCGGTCGTTTTTTTTTGTAGATATCGCTCTAGAAGCATCTAAGTTCTCGTATATTCTACGGGTTGGGGCGGGCTGAGTTCATTTACTATCGTAATGGCTGAGAACACAAATAATTGAACGGAGCAGGTAGGGAGCGCATCCACAAGCGAAAATCTCATTATAGACTATCAAGTAGTATGGTTAGCTCGGCTGAGTTGTGTTCATCTCGTATTGTTGCCAACTAATCCCAATACTGCTGACCTTGGCTTCGTAGTTGTGCTTTTTGATCTGCTTATTCTGTCAACATATCCTTCGCATGATCCTAACTCTCCATTTCCTATGCTTCCCCACCCATCAACACAGGCATTTTCCCAGCCGATCAACTGTGGCTGCTCGCTGAATATGCTTTTGGTGGATCTGCCCTCGAAGACAATATGGTAGATTGCTGTTGTGTATTCTCTCATTGAAATATGATAGGTTTGTTCGCACTCCTATTGAATGTATGACCAACTATATGACTTTTCAGCAACCTTGTGAGTAGTTTCCTCTATGAAAACTATGTGACTTGTTAACAGATTAGATTTACCTCACTTTTGCTCGGTGAGGTCACTTTTCATATGCTAGCTCAATTCTCAAGGTGGATGATGACACCTATGCTGCTTCATTGCCTGGAACAATTGGTCGCGGGTTGATAGGTTTGAAGGACCTGACAAAATGCGCTGTAACTGCGCTCAAAAGCACTGGAAGTCTGCATTTCTCAACGGGTTTCTGCAGCTTCCCCCTCAATACTCCATCATGCTATCTGCTAATGATCAGAAGGATGCTGATTACCACTGCGTTTCGATCGATTATCGAAGCCAACCTTCTATGTCTGAGATGTAGGAGGGATGGCTTCCGTTTGAGTGACACCGCGTGGTCTTCCTTAACGGCTTGTGTTCAACGGAAACTTAGAATTCTGAGCTCATTCCCTTTACTGTTCGATGAAGTGTGAGTCGCCTGCTAAATTCGCCCTCTTCAAACCATGATTGTCCACGAAGCGCCCACATTGGTTAGATTTCCACACATTCCAACTTCGGCAGTGGCGTTGTTACGGTAGGATCCGTATAGCAGTATCACTATGAGCATAGCATAGCCGCCACTGTAAGCTTACATAGCTCATGTTGTGAGCAGAGCTGACTACCCTACCAGACCTTTAGACCCTCGGCTAGTAACTTCAATATCAGTAATAAACAACCCAACTTATCGACCAAGCTAACTTCTTTGATATTCACTCTACTTGTGTTTGTAAACAGTCATGTTTCGCAGGTATACGAGCCTACCCTCACTCAGCGCGGATGGATGAAGTTGGCTGTACCAAGACTTTGCTCATAAACATTTCTTCTTAGTCCCCTCCATTGGATCTAGTTATAGATCGCAGCAAGCGGATAAATCGGTGATCTTGCATTCAGACGTGAACTCAGTGTAGCATACAACCGACACTCATGTTTGTCACTACAGGTTTATGTTGTATCACGGCAGAACAGCTACATGAAGTGAACAAAAGGACACAATGGGTGTGCCATCAAAGTCAGGCGCATTGGTGGGAAATGTGAGATGATCGTAATTCAGTGTTTATGGGAAAATGAAACAGTTCTGATGAGTAGTCTTTAAAATCTGAACCACTTGATCATTGTGTTCCTCCATAATTGAAGCTACTAATGAAGCAAAACTTTTCAATTACCCACTCCCTTGCACCCTGACAGCCAAGTTGTCCCGCGGCACGTCTGGGTATTCTACTTCAGGTCGGATTTGCTTTGGCTGTTGCGGAAGCCGAGCTGAAATTCGAACACCGTGACCTACATTGGGGTAATGTACTCATCCGACAGACAGTTGGGGAATCCAGCTCAACAGGTGGTCACAATCGGTGTATCAGCTGCGCCCGCACAGAAAATGGTCCCGTGGAGGTTGTGAAATTTCGTCTGAATGATCGATCTTACGAGGTCCCCTCTTATGGTTTTGCTGCGGTGATTATCGACTTCACACTATCCAGACTTGAGCAAGGTTGGTTTCTTTCGGAATTTTCCCGCCTGGGAACCGATGACTCCACTGTCAGGTCATACGAAATTTGAAGGTGTTAGGTGATTCGGATCCTGTGGTGTTGGCTTCAAAACAGTGGCGACAAACACTCGCATTAGATGAAAACCCATTGAATGTTTAATCGTTTATCTATTGTATTAAGACCGGCCTCTGCGGATGCCTGCAGTTAGCTAATCATCTTCATCATCATCATCATCAATAAAACCGATGCTTCGCCACCCTGCAGTCGTAGTTTATTTAAAGAGCTCGTTGTGAAAAATAATAAAAGATGATGGAAAAGGAACATTTTGAGGTGCCTGCACCTCCACATACCCATTCAAACAATCCAGGCGAAAACGGACAAAGTTGATTGTCGATTGTTGCCACAATCGGGAGGTTGTTCATTCGGCCTCGTCTCCTGGTTTAGATCTAGACAACCGGATAGGATTTCCTACATCTTTGTGGCGGCTGTGGGCTAAACGGTTTTTCATTTTAGGTGCAAACTTACTGGAATCGATTACGGCGTTGGTTTGAACTCGTCGTTTTCAGGTGGGCTGTTCACTCAGTGGTTGTCATGACCTTAGCGGGCATGTATCGAGTAGTATCAACCTGTTTTGTGCAGATCCTTTCCGGCTACTCGCGATGACGCTTGCATGCAACTACATCGTCAATCCATCACAGGAAGTTTCTTGTGCTTATCTCTTTCTGCAGCGACGGTTTCGTTTTAGAACATGAATCCCATGCGATTTTTAGAGTGAACAAACGTTTTTAAATGTTTCTTGATAAATCAGCCAATAGCTAGCTAAGCCTTAATTGGAACTTGACCCAAGCAGTTCAACCTAGCGTGCAGGAATCAGTGCTTGGCGCAACTCCCGGAAGGGATAATTTAGCTAACTACCGTCCGTCGTTCAACTGAGATTAAAAAGGCTGCCTTAGCTTTATTCCGCTTGTTTTTGTTTTGTTTTGAGGAGGACGGAAATAAAAGGAACCCCTATTCTGACTTGCCATTTCGACACTTACATCTTAACTTAGTTTCACGCACCCCGAAATTTACGCGCACTGTCCAACTTTTCCGTATGAGTTACAGGGTCTTGTTAGACCCCCTCGATGTACTGATTCTGCCAAACAAGGTAGGACGAGTGAGCGGAACTTGCGTGGGGTGCGCATATGACGGATTAGTTGAATCACGGTGCTATTCCCTTTACCGGTGCAAACTGTTGTGCAAAAACATCCGTTTTCACGACTCAGGGAAGCGTCGTCCGCGTATACATGTTCCCTCGTGCGGACAACAGCCTTTTTTGCACCTACACTAGTTAGATTCCACCGAGTTAGGTAGGATTGATCACAACGCGAGTGGTATTCTGCATGTTTGCGGGTGGACAATTAGGTTTCTTCATCAGTAGATGACTGTCCCTGCCTGTTCCCTACGGACCTCAAAGGACCGACCAAAACCACTGATCTCTTATGGGAAGGGGTATAATATTGCAACGAGGATTAGAACAACTTGGAGTGACTGCATTTCTTGGGTCACTTGTGGAAACGCATCCGGTTGCACAGCTATGAATAGTTCTCTCTTGTGTTCGAATCGCTTGTTTACTCGCCTACTATTACGTGCCCATAGCTCAAGGGAACTCAACAGCCAATCAGTGCACACCACAGTACAATAACTATGATAGCTGGGTCCAACTAATTGCACTTTTTCCAATGTCATACACCCATCATGGCAGACGGTGGATTGGTCTATGTGAACTTGGCTGCAGATCCGGCATTGTTCGAATCCCAAGGCGATTACCAATTCGACGTCTACCGTCTCATGCGCAAGCACAATAAGTAAGTACCTCGTTTTTTAGACGATTGTTTCGATACTTTAATTTGACTTGGAGCATAATGTCGGTAGCCCCCTGTTCGGTGCGTACATTGTTCGCCACTCTTTATTTTTGAAAATCGTTCAACTGTAGCGTCCTTCCGGTGCCCACTGACCGTGCCACCAGAAGGAAGCACAAGGGCTGGGATACTTCCAGGTTATCCAAGCCTAGACAGGGGAAATCGGGAGGCAGAGGTCGGGTTCGAACCTCAAACATTCCGGTCAGTAAATTCGCGCCCTAACCACTGCGCCATCTCACCCCTTTATTAAACTGACTTGCCTTCCATTACTTGGAAGTGATTTCTACGTCCTTTTAGCCAAACTCCGTTATTACATTTTATCACACTCACCAAAACCTTCGACAGTCCATCACTATCAAGGCGTTTTCAGCAACCTTATGAGTAGTGCGTTCTGTCAAGAAAATATACTGCGACATTTCGATTGTCATACCAACTGAAGCATGAGGTGTTTAACAATGTCACACAAGAGAGATTCAGCTGCGGTTCATTTGAGTCTCTCCAGCTGTAACATCCTTTCGGAGCCTAGTTGCCATGCCACCCGAATGAAGCACGAGGACTGGGATACTTCCAGGTTGCCTGAGCCTAGACAGGAGAAGCTGGGTGGCAGAGGTCGGGTTCGAACCATGGACCTTCCGGTCAGTAACTTCGAGCTCTAATGACTGAGCACCTCGACCCTCTCTCTAAAAATCAAATTAGATTGCAAATCGCATAACATTTGGATTGAAGCAGAACGTAAGGTTGATTGATGGGTAACCCGGGAATACGTTTCCCTAATGAGATGAGGCGAAAACCCGTCGCGGTTTTCACCAGCTTTACGAGGAGTGTTTCTTCAACAAAATATACTGCGATACCTCCAGTGTTATGCCAGTTGAGCCAACAACTTCCATTTTTGCTTGCTGATTTTGCAATCGAAAGGCCTCTGGTGTCTTCTAGCTTCCAGCTCAAATCTTGTTGACTGTCTTCTTCCATCTTGAAGGAAAATGAGGAATCAAGTTGTCCTTGGGCAGTCGACCAGGGGGGTGATCAGATGTGTTTGCAATATTGTCTTATTCATGGTCCCGTCATTTTCTCCAGTGTTGTTTTGTTAGGTGATGATGTGTACAGTGTCGCCGATTCTACTGAAGCATAGCATATGATCAGTCAGATTGGCGCAGGAAAACACGAGACTGTGTTGATGTTAGGCGGAATCCCACACGGATCCTGCTTTACCGCTCGCAGTTAGGTGCTGCTACGGCCAAGAAGTCCATCCCACGCAAGATTGGCCAAGAATTCGGGACGCTTGCCGGTCCGGCATCAAGACGAAATTCGATTGGTCAAATGTCTGGACCCAACAACCAATCATGACCCAGTATTGGCTAAATGCTGAACGCGTCAGAAATTCCAGAAAGTTACAACCGCCTACAGTATACACAACTGTTCCTGACTTCGTTTGGGGCGTTAATATACCTTGTGTACCTTTGGTGGTTGTTTTTGACGTGTACGCTAGCTTAGGAGGCTCAGACCGAGAACTAAGCTGAGAGAAATACCGTTACTAGAGTTGAATACAATGGTTAGCTGAATGTAGACAGACAAGGGCGTACGCCTTCAACCGCGCACCGGGTTGGTGACGAAACATTTGCAGTCTCTGTCAAGCTCGGTGAATGAAAACAGGGACCAAACAAAGCACTCGAGCTCCTCATATTCCAACAATGGTAACCGAATTAATGAACCGCGCTGGAAATTCTGCTTGTGTTCTTTCTGAGCGCGTAGACAAAAGCCGTTGGATTTCTAAACGATCGCTGCTTGACTAGAGCCTGTGTATCATTAAAGCACAATTTGGCTAGACGGTTGGTCAGTCCTCAAACATCGCAACTGAATCACGTGCACACACACACACACACTCACACAAGGTACTTCCCTATTGAACCTAGTTTTGCCTCTTCCCCTATCCAGGCAGCACAACGAGATACAACTGTGCGAGACAGCAGTACACTAACAACTGTCAACACATTTTCAGCAATAGAAAAGGTGGCTGAATTCCAACCTTATTGTATACGTTTCATAGCTGAGCCCTGTGGAAAATAACTGTATACACATTGCCACTACAAAACGTACACTGGAAGAGCATTATGTATAGATGACACAGTCTACGTTGCCACTGCATTGTTCCTCGACACAAGGGAAAATGCCTTGAGGGAAACAGCCACGTCCGGGGGGGGCACGATAGTTTCCCTCACCGTAGTCTCCTCGAGAGACCCACTTCCCCAAGAACAGAAGGAAGGATATCTGCCGCTGTTTAGTGGTTCGTGTCATAGACAGCGCTGATAAACTGTCCATACTTTGACTGGTTGCATAGGGTCATTTGGTGGGAGATGTTACAATCAGGTTAGAGGTTTGGGGGAACATAGGTGGAACGCAGAAGAAAGCAAACTACAGTGACTTTCAACAATGCTCATTGTTCCGTTGCTACATCAAAAAAACACGTTGATAAGAGATTACCTAATCTCGCCCTTCGTTTAAGACAGCTCAAGATTGCTCAATGCTTAAGTCGCAAACTGACCGAATGGCCTCGATCGCTCCTATCTAGGGTTGGACAACCTTGCAGTATCCCAGAAAAACACGTTGATAACAGATTACCTAATCTCGCCCTCCATTTAAGACAGCTCAAGATTGATCAGTGCTTAAGGCGCAAACCTACTGACCGAATGGCCTCGATCGCTCCTGTCTAGGGTTGGACAACCTTGCAGTATCCCAGCAATTATGCTTTATTTGGATGGCATGTTCCGGAAAGGTATTACAGCCGAACGATATAGGTTACGGTAAATTTTGCTCCTTGGTTTTATCTTCCTAAGAGTAACAGTGACAGAAACCTTCGGATGGCATGACATCTATGTTCCGGAAAGGTATTACAGCTGAACGATGTAGGTCACAGTAAATTTTGTTCCTTGGTTCTATCTTCCTAAGAGTAACAGTGACAGAAACGTAGCTAGATCCCTTCAGTTGAAATACCTATAGAGTATGTCAATCTAGATAGAAACGAATTAAGTAGCGCTGCATGTTCGTGTAACAACAGTCGTCTAACGGGCAATTAGATGAGTAAGTCCGGTTCAGTGGTGGAGCAACTACTTTGTGAAACCGGAGAACGCGTTCGTTTGAATTCGGTAAGCTTATGTTCGGATCATAATAGGCGGAAAATCCCGTCTTCCAAAACTTGTTCACATCATACTATTGTAGATGTCAGCATGGACAACCGGAAGTTAACTGGCTCACCTCTGCAATGATGGCAACGGTCATTATCACGACCATCGACAGTACGTCAGGATTCAACATGGATGCTCCGCTGCCGTCCAGTCTTAGTTTGGTCAAACCCTTATTCTGGATAGAGTAAAAGCGAGACGGTCCCTACCTCTGGTCTGTCGTAACCACTCAGAGGTGGCTACATCTCCAGACGCTCATTCGGGGCAATGTAGATGCAAACTGGCAATAACATTAGTGAAATCTGTTAGTCTGCATACCTTGTTGCGTTTTCAGCCATACACAGGGGATCACGCGGACCCCATCTCGGAAGTTTAGTCGTACCGACAGTACCCAAGGACGTATCTTTCTGGCAACGTTAAGGGTTCACCAACAAATGAAGTGAACTTTCATGCTTTACGTCAGCGGCTTGCGACAGCATTTTGAGAGTATGACTTGCGGCCGTCACTTCGTACCCAAGGATCAAGTTCAATCAGTTGTCCCTAACTCAAGTTTGTTATCCTCGAATAACCCGCACATCGTTTGAGCATTATCGTTTTCCTTCTCCGCTGTCCCCACAGAGATCAATGGGAGCGATTTCACCCTAGGACAAATGTTTTTTGGCTCCACTATTTGGCTACCAAGTTGCTCCCCGAGAGCACCACACCTGTAGCATGCCATCACGACGCTTTCGTGCAACGGTTGACAGACTTGGAACGCAGTCTCAGCACGTTTGGTTTCGAATCCGCATGTGATCTGGTTCGACGACATGTGGCGTTCAACTCATGTTGTTGTGAATAACTGGATGTCTGTCGTGTTTCCCCCCTGTCCCTGTACATACATACCAGGCTTCAGGTGTTTAATACGTTCCTAATTCTACCCTACGTCTTCGTGTTCCGTGGCTAGACTGGTGTGGATGGACTGATCAGCGTCTCCCTTTTGCACCTTCATTTGGACGATTCGAAAAACTTGCTGATATAGTACGATGTTTCCAGGTGATATATTTTCCCATCATCAGGCTACTTTCGGATCAGTTCGAAAGGCATCAACGAATACAATGCAGAAATTGGTTAAACATTCTCTTCGGGACAGAAACTACGAGACAAGTACTCTACTGCTGCTGCTGTGTTTCTCAGTAAGCCAGGCCCCATGAATAAGACAAGTACTCTGCTGCTGTCGAAGGGTGTTTCTCAGTAAGCCAGGCCCCATGAATTTGTAGGTCATAAAGGAACTCGTACTAAACACTGACCTTTTGCAGGAAAGGCCTCACTTCAGGGAGAATTAGAAAAGTTTGAATTCTTCGAGTCAGCAATACATTTGGCAACGAAAGGAAGGGATATGAAACGAAACCAAAAATAGACGGACAATAAAGCTTCTACCGCGGCGTTTTCACATAGGTGTATGGGGCGTATATCACGGCGACTGCAGCAGTGTTTAAGTTTGGCGTGGAATTTTCTGGCAAAATTTGATCAATCATCTCCTGGTTCCTCAAAACGTTCGTGACTGGAAGACAGCATCACTTATTGCTTCTAGAACACTGTTTTCGAGAACCTGTCCCTCATAATCAGGGTATTCTGTTATAACCATCTGTGTGAAAGAGAACTCAATTTGAAGCGGCATTAAGCTACAGAAATCGACTGATTGTTAATGTTAATAGTAATCCCTGGACTGTTTGCCTTATGAGCTTGTCGGGCAGTCCATCTGGAGCCCGATAAGAGGCAAATCGAGATCCCGGCACAGCACCGCAAAAAAGTAAGCCGCTGAGTGAAACGGTTTCTTTTGAACAAAAATAAAAAATAAGGTAAGATCACCCGTCAGTAAATTCTGGAAGTATTGTCCAAGTAATCACACGATCGTAAGGCACGATGTACGTGTATATAACATTACACGATGTCTACTTGACAAAAAACGTGAAGCGAAAGCAAGATTGAGAAACATGAGGCTACTCGCACGGTACGAGGTAGTACAGTTTCGAACGAAAATGAACGGGTAATGCAACGTTTCTCGGCAGGAAATCGAAGGGGAGAAAATAAAATCACTGCTATGTATGGAAGTAGAGACAGTATGAACAGAAATGGGAAGTGATAAAACCGGAATTTTGTCAGGATTCAGTACGGACTAGCCTTGTAGCCCCAGGACTTGGCTGACACGCGACGAGGCACGCTTGGTCTCCACGAGGAGTAGGACAACAGACTTGTCCTTCAAGCCAGCTACGATCAGTGGCTAGGAGAAAAAAGTAGGATACCCATGATTACGCAACACAAAATCAACATTCCAGTTTCGGAATTCTGTCCAGGCTGGAGTCAACGCGACAGTGCAATCATTTGCACCCTTAATGGCAGGAGAACTACCAAAATAAACAACGATTTGACGACAGGGAAAATTGTTGCCAGTGTCACAGGAGACTTAGAACTCGAAATAACGACAAACGGAAT